GATCTAGCACCCACATGGTGGCTAACAACCATCCATAACTCCAGTTGCAGGGGATCTAATGCCTTCTTCTGTCCTCTTCCATAGGCATTGCATGACATGGGTACACTTACATACATGCAGACAATATACTCATACAGATAAAATAAAAATAATAAATAAGGGGCTGGAGAGATGGTTCAGTAGTTAAGAGCACTGACTTCTGTTCTTGCAGAAGACGGGTATTCAATTCCTAGCACCCACATGGCAGCTAACAACCAACCATAACTCTAGTTCCAGGGGAACCTGATGCTTTCTTCTGACCTCCATAGGCACTGCATGACATGGGCATTTACACACATAAGACAATGCGCTCATACACACAAAATAAAATTTTAAAAAATAAATTTTTAAAAATAATAATAAATAAATAAATAAAATTCATTAATGTGAAAATCCCAGCTCTTAGGAAGCCATGAAGAAGGAGATCATTAATTCAAGGCCAGCCTGGACTACATAGTAAAATTCTAACTTGGGGGAAAAAAATCCACATCTCATATTCCTTTTAAAAAGGGTTTATTTTCATTTCATATGCATGTGTGAGTGCCTGCATGTATGTAAGTATACTACATGCATGTCCAGTGTCCCTGAAAATCAGAAGAGGGCAATGGATCCCCTGTAGCTGCAGTTACAGGCAGTTGTGAGCCACCTCCTGGGTGCTGTGAACCAAACTCAGGTCCTCTGTAAGAGCAGCCAGTGTGCTTAACTATTGAACCATTGCTCCAGCCCACTCTCATTCTTTTTCTCAAATAAGTTCTTGAAACCTAAAATGTACTTTGTTTTTCCAGCACCACTTAGCCACAGTGGAGGGAGCCCAGCCACAACTAAGGTGCTCCACAGCCACATGTGGCAAGTGGCTGCCATCTTGGACCACATGGCTCTCTACTGCCTGACTAACATGTGGCTGGTCCATACTGCCAGTGTAAAACCACAGTTCTCACCTTAAAGGAAACAAGAGATAGTTTATTCCGGAGCCAAATAAGGGTGACCACAAGCCAGGAACACAGATTCATCTTGCCCCAAATTCAGTGTTCTACTATGGGAGTGAGTACATGAGATTTTTATTAGTTAGAGAGCAAAGAAAATCATAAATCAAATTACTTACCAAATGAAGGAAGCCCCAGGTGGGTGGGTTACAGCAGAGCAGGGAAAACTGCTAGAACTGGAATGGGAAAAGTGCTAGAACTGGAAAGCCGAAACAAACCAGGACCAACAGATGTCCCAGAACAGCCTATTCGCCTCCTGTGGGACACAGGGAGCCCCCAAACAGGACCTCAAGCAGTATGAGGCTACAACGTGGGGCAGCAGGAGGGTGTGCTTCGTGGAGCAGGGATGCACCGGCAGGGAGACACCGTTGACTGTGGAATTGACTTTAGGAGTAGGCTAGCTTAAACTGTGACTATTGAAATTCCCTGGAGTTACTCTCCCTCTCATCCCCCTCAGAATCTACTGATGACTTAGCTGGGCAAATTTTACCTTCTAAAGGCACCAGGAAAATAGCAAGGCACTTCTGTGAACCTCGCCCATCTCAGGCAGGGATGGCAACGGCTCTTTCTTGCTACGGTAGCTGTATGGATCAAACCAGACCCCCACACACAGGGCCTGACACCCTTCCTGGATAGATCTGCCACTGTCCCTGTTCTTCCCGTTGTAGAAGTGAGGCCCAGGATGGAGCAGCCTGCCCAAGGTCACACAGCAAGGTGGCCATGGCATGTCTGTTCTGGCTGCCACCTTCTCCCTGGCAGCCATCTCTGAAAGGCAGACACACTCGTCCCCTCACAGCAAGGTAAATGAAGCACGCACACCCTGAAGTCCTCAAAAGAGGCACACGTCCAAGTGTGGTTTCCATGGTACATACCCAGTGCCTGTGTGTATGGAATTTGCTTAGAATCCCAGCTCTAGAGGGCGGAGGCAATGTGGCAGCCAGTTCTGCCCGCCTTCCATCTCCCTGTGGATGGTGCCCCTATGGTGACCAGGATGAGAGTCCTCCATGCTATTTGCAGGGAGGAGTTGCCTTGTAGATAATGCAAAAGGACTGTGATTGAGCAAAATAACACACTGATTAAAACCCAGGGAGCCCAAATCATTATGTTGTATAATAATAACCAGAAACCCATTTTCCTGAGCCATCTCTTTACGGCTTTGCTATCCTATGTTTGCTGTCTCCTTGAGTCCTCCAGGTTCACCAGAGGTGACTACTACTCACACCCGTTTTACTGATAAGGGAAGTGAGGCTCAGAGCAAGTGAGGAACTTGCCCAGAAGCACACAAGATAGAGCCAGGAAGAACCTTAACCAGCTGGTCACAGGAGATGGCAGGACAAGGCTCATGGAAGCTGGAGGCTGGAAGAGTTGGGATGAGGAGCTCTCCCTGGAGCTGTTTCTTTTGTCCACCAGGAAAGCTGGGACATTTGAAATTGACACTGATCAAGATGATGAAAAGACTCGATGACAAGATGAGGTGGCTGTTCTGTGAAGTAAAGACAGAGCATTGTGTGAGCTTAAATTTGGATTGATGCCAGGAGTGGAGGCTGTCATCCAGCTACAGGGTAGCAAGTTCAAGGCCTTGCCTGAACTACAGAGTGAGCTTAAGGTTAGCCTGGGCAACTGAATTAGACCCTGTCTCAAAATAAATTTAATAAGTCTGGGGATATAGCCTAGTATGCTTGAGGGCCTGGGTTCTATGCCCAGCACCACAAGAAGAAAGGAAAAGAGGGACGAAAGGAAGGAGGCAGAGAGGAAGGGAAGGGGGAGAGATGGAAGGAGGAGAGGAGGAATTCCAGTTCCTAAGCATGAGCCAAGAGCATGGCTCGGGATAGGGGCACTATGAAATGTTTTATTTCTATTTTCTTTTCTGTCTTTATTTCCTTCTTTCCTCCTTCCTTCCTTCCTTCCTTCCTTCCTTCCTTTTAAGCAAGGCATACTAAAGGCCAGGTTTAGATTCTGTCCTTTGCTAAGATCTGATCCCAGCCTATATCCAAGATAGATGAGCTTGGGTGCCTGCCTCCCCTTCCAGTCCCTTCTAATGAAGCCCAGATCCAAATATGGACCCCTAAGAAAGCTCTGAAGACCCCAGCTGTTGGTGACTAAGCATTAAGCATCCTCTGTCTGGTCCCCAGAAGGCCCAGAGCTTCGGGAGTCAAGGAAGTAAGAGGGTGAGGCGGTCTCCCTGGTAAGGAAGGGCTCCATGGTTCTGGAAGCTTTTCCCTACACACCAGAGCCCGGGCAGCAAGATGCTGAAAGACACTCAGGCTGCTGACACACGGGCCACACACAGCAGAGAAATGCCACAGCGTGAGGGCGATGCATGAATACACAGAGAGAAATACACAGAGCGGTGCCAGATGGAGAAGGCCGCCTGGGCTGGGCCGGGGATTCGTTACTCCCCAACCCACACAGAGCGGCTGGTGCAGTTACATAATGCAGGCAGCAAAAACACTAACCAGCTTCCCTTAAGGGCCCTGGGGAAGGGGAACCTCCTTTGAAGGGCAGGGTGGCCCCTGCACCCACCTCCTGTTCTCAGAGGCAGTGGGTGCTGTGTCAGCTGCCTTAACCCTGGGAAGTTGCTAAAAGGGAGCCAAAGAGTTTTGATGTGTTAGTCATGGCGGCAGATGGGGGTGGGGCTCCCTCCTGGAGCTAGGGCATGATGCAGATGCTAGTAGGATGGGTGCTGGGATGCAGGTGGAACTGGGAGCTCAAGGGGAGGAGAGAAGCAGATAAAGGGACTGATTCCCTCAGCCCCCCCACCCACCACCCACAGGTTGCCTGTCACAGTCCATGTATATCAGACCTATAGCTACACACACACACACACACACACACACACACACACACACACACACACACAGCCCCCTATGCCTGCCTGATCTGAGCCACACCTCTCCATCTTGCTCTCTGTTGGCCTTTGACACCTCAATCACACCCCAGACCCCTGCCCTGAGATAATTGATAGTCTGAAAATTGACAGCATTTCTGGGAGCAGAGTTGGAAGTTGAGAAGAAAACCAAACTAGACATTGAAAATAACTCAAAAGTTACAAAACTCGGGCCTGAAAGAGGCTCTGACCTGTTCCCCAGCATTTTGCCCTGTGTTCCTTTAAGCAAGGGACTGAATCTTCTTCCAAGTTTGGGTTCCAGGTCTAGGGAGGGGTCACTGTGAACATCAAAGGAAAAAAAATGTTAAGAGAGGAAATATTCAGTACTTGGAGATTTTTCTTCTTCAATCAATAGATACTGGTTGAGCATCTATCTACTGAGCTAACCCTGGTGGTTCAAAGTCCATCTTTGTAATGTTTCCCCATAGGGGTTTTTTGGATGGTCTGTGAGGAACAAATGTTTTCCAAAGTTTTGTGTAGACCGATCTCTTTGGTATGGAGAGTGTTTATAATATGGCTAGATGTCTGTTTTTAAACTTGCCAAGCTAACGATGAACGAAATGATCATCATGATCTATCAGAATCCTCCATCCATAGACAGTGGTATCTACCTCAGTCCAGCAGGTTTGTTTCAGGGGTCTCTGGAGTGGGAAGCCCAGAGATAGGTGCCAGGGGAAACTCTGAGCTGTGAACAGATGTTTGTAAAAACCCAGGGCACTAAGAACCAGGCCACAAGTCAGAGAGGTGGTTCTTGAGGTAGAAATGATAAGAGAAGTCTGAGCGTCCTTATGGTTGGGTTTCTGGAGCTGACTGGCTGGCCTCTGGCCTCTGGGGGTGAGGAGGAAGCCTTTGGTGTCTGAGGGCTTTGATCATAAAAATGAAACCAGGTAGTCGTGGTTAATTAGAATGGTGGGTGGACCCTGGAGGAAGAAGAGCTGTGCTTCCCAGTTGGTATCAGAATCCAAGCGTCCTGTGGCTCTGCTGTCTGCCGACCATGTTTTCCATCCTGACTTTGAAGGTGGTATTAGGTACCACCCCCTTTCAATCTCTTTTCTCTCCTCCTCATTCGCTCTCTTGTTCCTTCTCTCCAGCTATGAAAGTCCTAGATCACAACTGCATCTAACAAGCTAGTGACCAAGATGCTCGCAGAATAGACCCTGTGCCCACCTGTCACTTCTAGACACTGCTACCAGACAGTGTGTCCCAGTCTGTCCGGGACACATCCCAGCGCTTCTTCTGACGTCTGCCTGGTCAAGCTTCACTTCCTTAGGGAGCAAGGAGGGAGGCGGGGACACACGGAATCATGCCACCCAAGGCTGAATGGCAATGAGCAGGTGACGCCAAGTTGACGTCAAAGACAGACGACAGAAGCCTCTGCAGCCGGCTCTTCTTCCAGAGTAACCCAAGCTCAGCTCCTCTGTAGAAACCATCTTGACTTGCTACATTTGAGGTCTTCGGACAGGACTCCGGGACACAGACACCATGGAAGAGCACACATTTGGGGTTAAGCAGATCCAACCCAACGTCATTTCTGTCCGTCTCTTCAAGCGCAAAGTCGGGGGTCTGGGCTTCCTGGTGAAGGAACGGGTCAGCAAGCCACCCGTGATCATCTCCGACCTGATTCGAGGAGGTGCTGCAGAGCAGAGCGGCCTCATCCAGGCTGGGGACATCATTCTTGCAGTCAATGGGCGACCCCTGGTAGACCTTAGCTATGACAGCGCCCTGGAGGTACTCAGGGGCATCGCCTCTGAGACCCATGTGGTCCTCATTCTGAGGGGCCCCGAGGGCTTCACCACACACCTAGAGACTACTTTCACTGGAGATGGGACTCCCAAGACCATCCGGGTAACCCAGCCCCTCGGGCCCCCTGCCAAAGCTGTTGATCTGTCCCAGCAACCTTCAGCCAGCAAAGAGCAGCCATTAGCAGTGGACAGGGCTGCAGGTGCTGGCAACGGGCCTCAGCACACCCACAGCCATGGGCAGGAAGCTGGCTTGCTCTCCCACGCCAATGGCCTGGCTATTGACCCTACCGTGAAGAATGCCAAAGCTGGCCTCCAGGGCAGCGGTGAACACAATGAACTTCTCAGAGAGATAGAGCCCGTGCTGAGCCTCCTCAATAGTGGGGACAAAGTGGTCAACAGAGGAGGACCCAGCAAGGCGGAGACAAAAGACACAGGCGTCCAGGTGGACAGGTAAACTCCACAAGTGTGCATGTGTGTGGTTGTATGTGTGTCTGTGCATGCATGTGGAGACTTAGGCTGGCAGCCCAGAGCCTGCCTGCACTAGCTCACCTGCCCACCCACCCTTTATCTTCCCCCTGAACATTCCAGTCACAAAAGGTGAATGGACCTAAGATACAACTCTTGTCATGATCCCCTGAGTCATTAACTGTGGTACAGGACAGGTTTCCTCCCATCTGTATCCCTGGGCAGTCTCCAGGTGTGCCACATCTCCTCTTGGAAGAGTTCACATGAGACACACTGGGGTCCGGGGATGTGGAGCGGCATTTGCAAATGTTGGCCAGTGAGAGCGAGGCATGCGCCAGCTCACTTGGGTATGCAGCTTGTGCAGTGGTCCTAGGAAGAGAACAGGGAAGAGCAGAGCCCTGAGCCCCCTTCTGCTTTCTCCTCTCCACAACCAGCTGGAGACAAGGAAAATCCCCAAGGAAGTGGAAAGGATCCCCCGAATTGGTCCTGATGCCTCTAAACCACAGTCGTGTTAGAACTGTATGGACCTGAGGGCAGAGCTTGGACTGGGTACTGGCACCTCTTGTTTGACAAACAGTACTTTTTGAGTCTCAGGGAGAAGGCATCTAACAGCTCTGTAGGTGATGCCGGCTCCTCCAGAGGGGAGATGAGCAGCTGGTCCTGGCAGTTAAAGAGTGGTGGGTCCTGAGAGGTGGGAATTCACTTTGCCCTTTCCACTCTCAGACTTTCTACATCCACCCTATCCTGCCAAGATGGGGCTGGGCACACCCAGAGGGAGGCTCACAGATGGAGACACCCAGAATCCAAAGCAATGTCCCAAGCCTCCTTATAAAACCCTAAATGTCTAAGGAGTGCTTAGAGGGGTTCAGGAAGCCCCAGGAACTGGGACTGAAGTCATTCTCCCCAACCCTGCACACATTCACAACACTCATAAAACGTGCTGTGCACCAGGTGCTGTTCTGAACTCTGGGGCTGTGAGGTTCTGTCTTAACTGGTGTGGATGACATCTCCTGCCCCCCAACAGTATCTGGCCCTGAACTATATCCAATATTTTATATGCTTAACCACAATACACAGCTGGATTTTGGGCCATGCATGTGAGAACCCCTGCATTCTACTCCAGGAATACCTGCACTTCTCTGAACTCCATGTGATATGGGTACTGCCCCAGAGGAGCCACAGTTGGATACTAGATGCTCCACAGCACAAAGCTAATTTGACGCTTTCCTCCAGCCAACACCCAGGGATGCAAAGATGTAATACAGAATACTGCTGTGGCATGGTTTCTGAGTCTGAAGGGCTTTAATGGAAGCCCCAAACTCCATCCACAGAAGCCTCTCTTACTTTTGTTTCTTCAAGGAGGAGGGGCAGGTAGTTTGATGAGGGATCCTGCCCCACCCCCACCCCCACACACCTATTTTTCAAACTCAGGGACTCCCTTCCATCATGATCCTTCTGACCACCCATCTCCACCTTGCATGCGCTTGAGAGGCTTCACCAAAAATCACAGATAAGGTGAAATTTGGGAAAAAGCACCCAGGAAGATGCAGAGCCCAGGGAAGCCACCCAGGGGAAGGTTCTAAGGATGAATGACATTTCTTGATACATTTTCCCTAGCTGAGCACCCCACCTATATGTTCATAAACATTTTTAAAACACCCCCCTTACTAAGCAGATGCTAACTTGTAGCTGATGTAGCCTGCCCACACTTGACATGTTTATACATTTTGTGTCCTAACTGTAAAATAAGGGAGTGTGTCAAATAACTTCTAGGGAAAGAGCCAGAAATTGAACATATCAGTGCTGGGGGGCGGGGGGACCTCAACCAACAGGTCAGAGGTGTGTGCCTGAACCTGGAACTGGTGCCCACAGCATAAAATATAGAAAGATGGGTGGTGTGGCTTGGGTGACACAATTTTCCGAAATGAACAACCCTCAATGAAAGGATGGGTCACTCTGTCTTCGCCTAGTGCACCTGGTTCTGTGGATGCACGGAGAGAAAATTAAAGTCAGGGTTGTGATCTTGAGAGCTTCAGCCTGCTTTTTATCAACCTGCAAGGTCACGTGGTCACGGATAACTTTGTCCTTGGGTGGACGCCTCCCTAACATCGCAGGTATTTCTCACCCCATGGCACCTCCTTCCTTCTGTGATGGAGTGCCCCTGAGAATCAGTGTCAGGAACCAGAAGCCCAAAGTCAGCATACCCTTGGAGGTCACTCTGGGGCTGGCTGGCATCCTGGGAACCGTTGGAGCACAGGGCTATGGGATTCTTCTTCCCAGACACCTCCCAGACACACTCCATTTTAAGGTGACAGTTCACACTGGAGGCTGGATGAATGGTCACCAGCAGGGCCATCTAAGAGAGAATGACGTGCAGAGTTCACACCCAGGACACACTCGCCAGCCCATGGCTGCCCATCTCCACCCTATCACCCTTCTTTTCCTCCTGAGGTGAACTTAGCTTCCTGCTCCATCATTGGGGTTTGGGGGCAACTGTGATCTGCTACTCTAGAAAGACCACCCCGCCCCTCCCCCCGGAGGCAGTGAGGAAGGAAGGCGGTAAACTTTCAGCACCTTCTGCATTCAAGAGCAGTCACTTTAAAATGCCGAATGTTGGAGGAATCGAGGTTGCCCAGCTTGCTGCCCTGAGGCACAGTTCTAAGAAGGCCAAGGTCCCTGGTTCATCATCCATCTGGAACAGCCAGTCAGCCTCACCCTGCCATCTTACAACACCCCCACGTAAACCCTTGCAAGGCACTTGGTCAGTTCCAAATCACCTCCTTCAGAGGCTGTACAAACATTGCTCCAGAAATAGGACACGTGGCTTTAGCCCACTTTTCTAAATGAACAAACCGAGGCTCAGAGGGGTAAAGCCACTTAGCCAGGGTCACACAGCCCCAATGCCAGAGTGCTGCTATCCTAATTGTAACCCCCAAGTCTCTCAGTAAGTGTCTACACTTAAAGGGAAATCAGACTAGGAAGTGCGGCTGAGGCACAGCAGTTGATTTTAACCCAAGAGAAGCAGCTTAATTGGGCAAGAGAGCAGTAAGGGGAGGGGAATGTATCTCTCTTTGACAAGCCTGAGCTGTATAACTGTGCTGTTGAATTGACTTCTACTGACTGCTCCCAGGGATGCTGGTCCCATGCTACAGTCCATATGTCAATTCCTGCTCACAGTGTCCCATCTTCCTGAAGAGGAACATGGGGCTCAGAGAGGTTCCAACACTTACCACAGGCCTCACAGCTAGCAAGCTACCAAACTCGGGCTCAGGCCCAAGCCTGTGCTCCTGACCTCTGCTGCCGCCCACAGTGTACTTGGCACCTGGACATTGAGTTTCTAAAGCCAACAGAATGTTTTCTCTGAGTCTAATGGGGAAACTGAGGCCCTAGAGTTCCTCTGGACTGGGGTAACTAACACAGGTCGAGGTGACCAAGACCTGGTCAAGACAGGTAGGAGGGGTCTCTCGGAGTTAGGGAAGGGCCTCTCTCAGGGATTTTGTGAACTTCTCAGACATCATCTTGAACAAGCACGGGAGAGAAGGTGGTGGTGGGAGCCAACACCCCAGGCTCGCTCCTCCTACAGCAGGGCATGCATCTAACCCTGCTTAGCTGACTAGAACCCTCACCATCAGAAATGCCTTCAGAGGGGTTAGAAAGGTGGCTCAGTGGATAAAGCGCTTGCTGCACAAGCTTAGGACCTGAGTTCAGATCCCCAGCACCCACATCAAAAGCTAGGTGCAGGTGGCCATGCCTATAATCCCAGCACCAGAGAGTCAGAGACAGGAGGACCCCTAGCGCTTAGCCTAATTGGAGAGTTCTAGAACAATGAGAGACCCTTGCTCAACAAATAAGGCCTGACATTGGCCTTTGATGTCTACATGCACATGTACATACCTGCACATACATGTGTATGCATATGCACACAGAGTGGCCTGCAGGACTGACTCAGAGGGTGCCTGAGTCTATACCCAGGCTGCATGTGCTGCACACAGCTCTGAGTAGTTCCTCCATGAACGGAGCTAGAGACAGTAACTTTGCCTTCACTGTAGCCCAGAGCAGCAGCATCATGGCCCCCTCAGCAAACACGCATGTCTTCCCCCAGGCATCCCTCCCCAGGCATCGCCCCACCTTGTCCCTTCTGTCTTTGTCATGAGGGCACCCAGCGCTTCATCTCAGGGACAAGCTATGGAAGAATTCACATATTCACTCCTCAAAATGGAACGTCCTCAGTGGGCTTCTCGAGGTCTCCCAGGCAGTGCATGAGCATCATGCAATGCTGTGCTCCAGTGCTGGGGACTCGCTGAGGAAGCGCTCCCTCCTTAAGTCAGATTAAAAGCATGAAATGAAGAAACAGCCGCTTGCAGTCATCGCAGGATGACTCATGCCAGGAAGGAAATAGAACAGTGGTTTGTGAGAAAGTGGCTCTGAGTTCAGGAGAGCATTAGATCAGAGATGGGGAAGGTCAGAGGCACCAAGCAGGTGAAAAGCAGGGGACAGTGTTCCTGGCCAAGAGCAGAGCAGGAGGAAATGTCCTTAGGCAGGGACCAGAGTGAGGGGTTCAAAAGGGTGAAGGAAGGGCTGGGCGGCTGGAGTGTGGCCATTGGGCAGAGAGGTCTAGATAGTGAGGTCAGACATGTGGGCGGGGCCATCTACAATCCAACCACTATCATTCCTGCCCGGTATCTGTATCTGCTGCTATAGCTGTTGTGACAAACTTCCCCAAATTCAGTGGCTTCAAACAAGATACCCTTGTGCTGCCAGCTCAGGAGACAAAAGTTGGAAGTAAGTGTCGCCAGGCTGGAATCAACCAGGATGTCAGTTGGGCTGCAGGATGTATTTTGGAGGAAACAGAGGATCTCTCTGGCCATTCCCAGCCTTACCAACTGTATCCTTTGCAAACTAGAGAATGCCCCTCCCCCGACATCCCCATTCTCAAGGCAGAAGCTTAGCATTTGTTCCCATGGTCACTGTCATGTCACTGTCTT